TCTCTGTCTCCTCTCTCTGCCCCTCCCCCGCTGGCTCACATGTGCTCACTCTATCAAAGTAAATAAATACATTTTTTTAAAAAAATTTTTACATGGAAAAGATCTAAGTAAATGAAGAGCTGTATTATGTTCATGTGTTAGAAGACTCCATTCTGTTAAGCTGTTCGTTCTCACCAAATTGAGCTATAGATTTAATGCAACCCCAATCACATTTTGCCGAAATGAACAATGTGCCTGTGAAACTCCTATGGAAAGGAAAAGGAGTTAGAACAGTCAAAACTTGGAAGAAGAACAAAGAGAGCTAATGCTACTTGATTACTGGAGTTATTATAAAGCCATAGTAAATCAGGACAGTATATTAGCATCAGGATCACCCAAGCAGACCAGTGGGTCAGAGGAATAGGTCCATAAATAAGCCCACCCGTATATGGCAACTGACTTTTGACAAAGGTCCAAAGACCATGGAGTTGTTCCAGGACAGTCACATACCCATGTGCACGTTACAATTGGAACAGTTGGATATCCATCCGCAAGGAGAAGGAAAATCACCTCAGTCTGTCTGTCACACCATACACACAAATCAACTCAAAATCATAACCTAAATGTAAAACCTACAACTCTAATACTTGGAGAGAGAAGAAAACTCTTGTGAGCTTGAGTTAGGCAAAGATATTTTAGATACAACATCAAAAGCATGATCTGTGAACAAATTGATGAATTGGACTTCATCAACATTAAAAGTTCTGTTTTTCAAAACACATTATTATGAGGGAACATTATGATAAGCTACGGACTGGGATAAAATATTTGTAAATCAGGTATCTGTGAAGGGTTTTGTATGCAGAATATATAAATAACTCTCAAAACTCAATAGTAAGGAAATAATTTTAAAAATAGTCAAAAGGTTTGCATAAATATTTCTTCAAAGAGATTATGGATGACAAGCACATGAAAAGATAGTCAACATAATTGGTCACTAGAAAAATGCAAATTAGAAGCACAATGAAATACTACTCGTACCTGTTAAAATGGCTAAAGCAAAACATCGACCACACCAAGTGTTGCTGAGCTGAGCATGTGCAGTAATGGGGACTCTCACGTGGCTAGTGAGAATGAAAAATGGCACAACCACTTTGGAAAATAAGTTGGCAGTTTCATAAAAAGTTAAATGTACGTGTACCATGTGATCCAGCCATTCCACTCAGGTATCTATCAAAAACAAAAAATGGGGGCACCTGGGTGGCTCAGTTGGTTGTGTCTGACTTCAGCTCAGGTAATGATCTCACAGGTTGTGAGTTCAAGTCCCATGTCAGGCTCTGTGCTGACAGCTCGGAGCCTGGAGCCTGCTTCGGATTCTGTGTCTTCCTCTCTCTCTGCCCCTCCCCCGCTCATGTGTGTGTGCGCATTCTCTCTCTCTCAAAAATATTTAGAAAACAAAATGAAATGCATATAGACTTGTACACAGATGTTCATAGCAGCTTTGTCTGTATAGCCAGAAGTTTGAAACAACCCAACTGTCCATCCACAGGCAAATGGAAAAAACAAAACAAAACAAAAACTGTGGCACATCCATGCAACAAAGTACTTCAGTAATATAAAGGAGTTAACTATTGAAACACATTATAGCATGGATGAATTGTTATATAGTTTCGCAGAGTGAAAGAAGCTAAATAAAAAGAATATATGCTGGGGACACCTGGGTGGCCGGCTTTGGTTCAGGTCAGGATCTCACAGTTCATGTGTGAATTCAAGCCCCACATGGGGCTCACTGCTCTAAGCGCAGAGCCCGATTTAGATCCTCTCTCCCCCTCTCTTTGCCCCTCCCCCACTCACATGTTCTCAAAAGTGAATAAACATTTTTTTAAAGATTTTTAAAAATTTTTTTACATTTTTTTTTTTATTTTTGAGAGAGAGAGTACAAGTGGGGGAGGGGCAGAGAGGGAATGAGACACAAAATCTAAAGCAGGCTCCCTCCAGGCTCTGAGCTGTCAGTACAGAGCCCAATGGGGGGCTCGAACTCACAAACTGTGAGATCGTGACCTGAGCCGAAGTCGGACGCTTAACCAACTGAGCCACCCAGGCGCCCCTAAAGATTATTTTTTAAAAAGTATATGCTGTATGATTCCATTCATACATGAGTCTGTGAGATGCAAACTAATGCATAGTGACAGGAGACCAGTGGTGTGGGGAATGCACAGATAGGGGCACTGGGGATGTGGAGAGTGATGGTAGGGATGGATTTAAAAATGAGCCCAAGGGAACTCTGCAGGATAATGGATATCTTCATTGCGGTGATGGTTTCGTGGCTATATACATGTATCAAACTGTATCAAGTTGTACGCTGTAAAAATACATTTTAGGGGCGCCTGGGTGGCTCAGTTGGTTAAACGTCTGACTTTGGCTAGGGTCACAATCTCGCAGTTCCTGGGTTCCAGCCTCACGACGGGCTCTGTGCTGACAGCTCAGAGCCTGGAGCCTGCTTCAGATTCTGTGTGTGTATCTCTATGCCCCTCCCCTGCTTACTCTGTTTCTCTGTCTCTCAACAATAAACATTTTAAAAAAAATACATCTCTCAGGGGTCCCCCAAGACCACCCCCATGTCTGGTGATTTACTAGGACTCATAGCATCCAGCATATAGTTGTACTTGTGGCTTAGAGTTATTACAGTGACGCGGTATGGATATGTGGCCAGATCAAGGAGGGAGAAAGACACCAGGAAGAAGGGTCTGGAGGAATCCATGTGCAGACTTCCTACGTTCTCTCCCTCCCATGAGGGACCCCGCAAGCACATCTTCCCTCCGGCAGCAAAACTATAACCACAGGTGTGCAATGTTAATGCCCTGGGAAACCCATGTAATGTTTAGGGGTTTTAATGGGGGCTGGTCACATAGGCACCTCTTGCCCTCCCAAGTGTTTCAGGGTCCCCAAAGGAAAACAGGTGTTCGGTGCCTAGGCAGACAAAACAACTTTATCAGCATAAGGACTGTTTCAAAAGCCAAGTTCCCAGATGCCAGCCGAGGGCCGGCCTTATAAGCAATCTTAGTAACTCAGAACTATTCACTCTTTCCTGCAGTCAGTTCTACTTCAGTAGAACTTTTTAAAAATCCTCATATAAGTTAGTATGAGCACAAGGCAGTGGTGATTAATTTATTGAGAAAGTAATAGACCGTAAAACTAATTCCAGATTTGTGGACGACTGATGCAGTGAGATTTTTATTACCTGGAATGTTTCACACTCTTAAATTTTTTTTTTTTTTG